TTCAACCTATGTAAATTTATATTTTTTAAAAAAAATTTAAATGTACATTTTTTAAATTTTTGTAAATATAAATTTTTTAAAATTTTAAAAAATATTGGTTAGATCCCGATTCAATCTTTTGACCTTTGACTTGGCTCTTTTTCAGGTCGAACAGGGACTAAATTGGAGGGAAATAATACATTAATTTGGCCTTGCAACAATTGATAAAGTGAAAGGAAATCTAACTGGACTTGGACTCTTTTGGAATAAAGAAAGCGGAAGTAGAAGGATGCCGGCAGATTAGTAGAAGGAAAGGAATTTGATTTCTTCTTGGATTCCTAATTCCACTGCAAAAGCTGGGGCAAATTAGGAAATGAGGGAAGAATTGGACAACGTTGGCGGCTAATTAAAATATATATACACGCATAGACGGCTGGAGAAGACATATGATACGCACATGGACGGACATGCCGGAGCGAGAGAAAAAAATTAAGAATTTTGTACGAAAATTTATCAATAGTTGAGAAAGGAATTTGAAAATTAATCACGTTTAGTCAATTAATTGGTGTTGTCGTTCCCATTTTATCTGTTTAAAGTCATTGATATAAGGACATTTTGGATCCTAGTACACTTTTCATCATCATATTTTTATAAAATTTGCATTTAGTCATAATATTGCATTTATTTTAGTTAAGTTTGGTCTTCCATTCATAAGTAGATTTTTTTAATTTATAGGAAAAATTTCAAATTTTAATTGTTTCGATTAAGGATAAGTTGCATCGAACTTGAATTGGTACAATCTATGTGGAACGATACTTGGACTCAAAATCCATTGTACTACTTGTTGGCGAATCGTGCACTTATAGTATTTTAAATGAAGAATATTTTTGTAATGTCATAGATTTTGAAATTACTGAAATCTAAAATACCGCACGATTAATTTAGGAATGTTATAGATGAGTATATGCTTAATGGTCAATACATTGATTATAGTCAATTAATTAATATTATTTAAGAGTTGTTTGATTGACTTTATTTTTATGAAAAATGTTATTTTTCCATTCAAATTCTTATTTTTGAAGTGTTTAACTGACAAATTTTCACATGAAAAATATTTTTCAACTTTTGATCATGTAATCATATTATTCTCAAAAATAAGGAACATTTTCGTTAGGGAGGAGTAATTTTTATTTTCCAAGTAATTCACTCTATATTTTTCTA